GATGATACTTCCCAACTTCGTTCTTCTTTCTCAAGATCACTGTGGCTGTTCAGAGTCTTCTGTGATTTTATATAAATTCCAGGATTATTCTTATTCTGACAAAAATGCTATTGGCATTTATTTTGATAGGAGTTGAATCTGCAGATTGTTGTGGATGGCATGGACAGTTTAACAATATTAATACTGACTATACATGAACACAATATATGCATCCATTGATTTGTATCTTCCTCAGTATCTTTCTTCAGTGTCTTATAACTTCAAATACAGGTTTTTTACATTCTTGGTTACGTTTATTTATGAGATTGTAAATGGGATTTTTAAAAATTTCCATTTCTGATATTTCCTTATTGTTGTATAAAATGCAACCAATTTCTGATTATTATATTGTACCCTGCTACTTTGCTGAATTTGTTTATCAGTTCTAGCAATATTTTGGTGGAATTTTTAGATTTCTCTATACATAATATCATGTCATCCTCAAATAATGACAGTTTTACTTCCTTCTTTCCAATTTGGATGCCTTTTGTTTCTTTTCCTTGTCTCATTTTTGCAGCTAAGACTTCAGATACTAAGTTGAATAAAAGTGGTGAAAGTGAACAACCCTGCCTTGTTCCTAATCTTGTTCCTTATCTTAGGGAAAGCTTTTCTCCTTAAAGCTCCTGATCTTGCTTTAGCTTTTCCCCACTGATTACATTAGCTATTGGTTTGTCATATATGGGCTTTATTATGTTTAGGTATGTTCCTTCTGTATCCACTAAGAGTTTTTATTACAGATGGATATTAAGATTTTATCAAATGCCTGGTGCTTTTACTGCATCTGTTTATATATTTTTATCCTTTATTTAGCTTATGTGGTATATCACATTAAATGATTTGCAAATATTGAACCAACCTTGCACTCCAGAAATAAAGTCCACTTGATCATGGTGTATGATATTTTTTTAATATATTTTATTGGTTATGTACATACAATTTTCCCAATTGCCCCCTTTGTCCCCCCTCCAGCCTGTACCCTCCAACCCTCCAGCATTCTACCCGCCTCGTAGTTCATGTTCATGGGTTATACATATAAGTTCTTTGACTTCTCTGTTTCCTGTACCATTCTTAACCTCCCCCTATTTTATGCCTACCAATTATGCTTCTTATTTCCTGTACCTTCCCTCATTCTTCCCCTCCCCACTGAAAACTCTCCATGCAATGTCCATTTCTCTGATTCTGTTCCTGTTGTAAGTTGCTTAGTGTTTGTTTTCATTGTTTTGCTTTCATTTTTTTAGGTTCATTTAGTGATAGTTGTGAGTTTGTTATAATTTTATTGTTCCTATTTTTATCTTCCTTTTCTTAGATACAAGTCTCTTTAACATTTCGTATAGGGGCTTGGTGATGATGAACTTTAGCTTGACCTTATCTGGGAAGCACTTTATCTGCCCTGACCTATAAATGATAGCTTTGCTGGATAGAGTATTCTTGGGTGTAGGTCCTTGCCTTTTATGACTTCAAATACTCTTTTTCAAACCCTTCTTGCCTGCAAGGTTTCTTTTGAGAAATCAGTTGATAGCCTTATGGGCACTCCTTTTTAGGTAACTGTCTCCTTTTCTCTTGCTACTTTTAAGATTCTCTTTTTGTCTTTAATCTTGGGTAACTTAATGATGATGTGCCTTGGTGTGTTCCACTTTGGGTCCAACTTCTTTGGGACTCTCTGAGTTTCTTGGACTTCTGGAAGTCTATTTCCTTCACCAGATTGGGGAAGTTTTCCTTCATTATTTGTTCAAAGAAGTTCTCAGTTTCTTGCTGCTGTTCTTCTGGCACCCCTTTGATTCACATATTGGAACATTTAAAGTTGATCCAGAGGTTCCTAAGCCTCTCTTCATTTTTTTTAATTCTTGTATCTTCATTGTGTTCTAATTGGATGTTTATTTCTTCCTTTTGTTCCAAATCATGGATTTGAGTCCTGATTTCCCTCCTCTCACTTTTGGTTCCCTGAGTATATTGCTTTATTTCACTTTGGGTAGGCTTCATTTATTCTTTCATTTTGTGACCTAGCTCAATTGGTTCTGTGACCATCTTGATTACCAGTGTTTTGAATTCCACATCAGATAGATTGGCGTCTCCTCATCGCTTAGCTCTTTCTTTGGAGTTTTGCTCTGTTCTTTCATTTGGGCCATATTTCTTTGTCTCAGTGCATCTGTTAATGTTGTAAGGGCAATCCTCTTTGCTGAGTTGTGGAGCCGTCTGTCAGGGAGAGGTCAGCAAGGGAACAATGCAGCTTGCTGGGCTCTAGCCCCACTTTCCAACAAACTCTCATGTGAGACTGGGACTTTCTCCCACCATGGCAACCACCATAGTCCACAGTCAGCACTGAGCCTTAGTTTCCCATTCAGCCAGTCCTGCCTGCATAGTCTGTCACCTTGCTCCAGGTTCTCTCCATCTGCCCATCTACCTCCTACCAGTCTGGTTGGTTTGGTTGGCTGTTTCTTCAATTCCTTGGTTGCTAGATTTCCATGCACTAGTTTGATTTTCTGGCACTTCTGGTTGTTTTTTGTTTTTAGATTGGTTGTTATCCTCCTCTTGGTTGTGTGAGGAAGTGAAGGGTTTCTGCCTACGCCTCCATCTTGGCCGGAACTCTGATTTTTTTTTAATGTATTGCTGAATTAAGTTTGCTAATACTTTGGAGGATTTTTGCATCTGTGTTCATCAGTGATGTTGGCCTATAATTTTCTTGTTTTGTAATATCTTTGTCTGGTTTGGAATTAGGGTAATGCTTGCCTTGTAAAATGAGCTTTGGAAGTCTTCCCTCTTCTTAAATTTTTTTGGAGTACCTGAGAGGAAGAGGTGTTACTTCTTCTTTGAATGTTTGGTAAAATTCACCTGTGAGCCATCTGGTACAGTACTTTAGTAGGAAGTCCTTTGATTGCTGATTTGGTTTTGTTGGTAGTAATTGGTCTGTTCAGGTTTTCTGTTTCTTCTTGATTCAGTCTTGGAAGATTGTATGTTTTTAAGAATTTGTCCTTTTCTGAGGGACTTCCGCCAAGATGGAGGTGTAGATGGAAACACTGTGCCGTCTCGCACAACCAACTTTAAAAACAATAAAGTTATAGCAACAAAAATGCAGCCAAACCATAGAAAATTAAACTATATGGAAGTCCAACAACAACAAACCCTTCAGCCAGACCAGTAAGAGGGGCAGAGCCAGCAGCAGAGCGGGGTTGAGCAGGAAAGATCCACCAGAATGACCCAGGCGCGTGACCCAGGCACGCAGGCAGCCGTGGGTGGATCCCAGGTGTGGAGTAACAGCAGGCGAACCCACTCAGGGCTGACCGTGGTCACACATTTGCATGCAGATATCCAGCGAAGAGCAAGCAGTGAAACTGAGACTGCACAGGCCCCAGCGGCAGGAAGCAGCAGAGGGGACCACCATTGTCCCTCTCTGACCCCGCCCCCACATACAGTATCACAAACCAGCGACCTGGGCGGCCCCGCCCTGGTGAACACCTAAGGCTTCGCTCCTCATACCTAACAGGCACCAACAGAGCAAAACATTATGGCTCAAGAAGAATAGCTCAAAGCCCCAGAGCCAATAACTCTAAGTGACCAAGAGATAGCAAAACTTTCAGATGCACAGTTCAAAACACTGGTGATTAGGATGCTCACAGAACTGGTTGATTTTAGTCACAAATTACAGGAACATATGAAGGCTAAACTAATTGAAATGAAGGGAAACGCACAGGAAACCAATAGTAATGGAAAGGAAACTGGGACTCAAATCAAGGGAGTGGACCAGGAGGAGGGAAAAAAAATGACCAAACAGAAAATATGAAGAAACAAGAATTCAAAAAAATGAGGAGAGGCTTAGGAACCTCCAGGACATCTTTAAATGTTCCAACTTCTGAACTATAGGGATACCGGAAGGGGAAGAGGAACAGCCACGAGTGGAAAACTTATTTGAACAAATAATAAAGGAGAATTTCCCCAGTCTGGCAAAGGAGATAGACTTCCAGGAAATCCAGGAAGCTCAGGGAGTCCCAAAGAAGTTGGACCCAAGAAGGAACACACCAAGGCACATCATCATTACATTAGCCAAGATTAAAATGGAGAGAATCCCAGAAGCAGCAAGAGATAAGGGGACAGTCACCTACAAAGGAGTTCCCATCAGACTGTCAGCTGATTTCTGAAAAGAGACCTTACAGGCAAGAAGGGGCTGGAAAGAAGTATTCCAAGGCATGAAATCCAAAGACCTACGACCAAGATTGCTCTATCCAGCAAAGCTTTCATTTAGAATGGAAGGGCAGATAAAGTGCTTCTCAGATAAGATCAAATTCAAGGTGTTCATCATTGCCAAGCCCTTATTATATGAAATGTTAAAGGGACTTATCTAAGAAAAAGAAGATAAAAAAGATGAACAGTGAAAGGACAGCAAACTCACAGTTATTAAGAACCACACCTAAAACAAAAGCAAACTAAGAGGACAGCTAGATCAGGAGCAGAACCATAGAAATGAAGATCACATGGAGGGTTAGCAACAGGGGAGTGGGAGGAGGAGAATGGAGGAGAAGGTACAGAAAATAAGTAGCATAGACGATTGGTAGAAAATAGGGGGAGGGCAAGGATAGTAGGAGAAATACAGAATCTAAAGAACTTGAGACACGTGGTCATAAACTAAAGAGAGGAATGGTGGGGGAGGGGGTGTGCAGGGTGGAAGGAAATGAAGGGGGAGAAATAGAACAACTGTAATGGCATAATCAATAAAATATATTTAAAAATAAAAAAAGAATTTACCTTTTCTTTCAGGTTGTTCAATTTATTGGCATATAATTGTAGAATTTTATAAGGGTTTTTTAAATCCTCATGTGAGGATGTGTTTATTGATTTTGGAGAGATGTGAGAGAGAAACATTAATCAGTTGCCTTCCATATGTGCCCCATCCAGGGACTGAACCTGCAATGTTTTGATGTACATGACTTCACTCTTAACTAACTGAGCCATTTATTTAATGCAGAATTTTATGGTTTTATTAACACAAATACAGTGTGTACACAATCTATCTGTTCATTTTCTTCAGTGTACTGCCTGGTATTGGAATTGTTGACTCTGATGGCCAGCTGGTCTGCTCTTCCTACAGTAGCTTTTTGGTTCTTTGAGGAGACAGTGTGAGCAGTCTCAGCACAGTAAGATTTGTTGTACATCAGCAGCACTTCAAGCTCCTTGATGTTGTGGACCAAGAACTTCCAAAAGCCATGGGGGCAGGGCAGCATGTGCTTTGTTTTCTTGTTGCTCCTGTAACCACTGTTGGGCATCATGATCCGACCCTTTAATCTTCTGTTTATCCTGTTGTCAGTGCCTCTGGGTTTCCACCAATTCTGCTTAATTTTGACATATCAATGTGACTAGTGCCAGATGGACTTCTTGGTCCTATTTTTGACAATCTTGAGTTTTATGAGGGGTCTGAGGGTAGCCATGGTCCTAAATAAGAAATAGCTGCCCCCCTGTAGGCAGCACCAAGAAAAAGAGAAGAAGGTCTTTAATATTTTCTTATAATCCTTTTTTGTTTCTGTAGTATCAGTTGTTACTTCTCTTTTATTTCTGATTTTATTTATTTGGGTCCTCTCCTTGATGAGTCTTGTTAAAGATTTATCAATCTTGTTTATCTTTTCCAAGAACCAGCTCTTGGTTATATTGATCTTTTGTATTTTTTTAAGATTCTATTTTATTTATTTCTGCTCTGATCTTTACTATATTCTTCCTTCTACCCACTTAGGGTTTTGTTGTTCTTTTCCTAGTTCCTTTAGGCATAAGGTTAGGTTGTTCATTTGAGATTTTTCTTATTTTTTGAGGTAGTCCTGTTTTGATACGAATTTTTCTTTAGGATTGCTTTTGCTATGTCCTAAAGATTTGGGGCTATTTTGTTTTCATTTTCATTCATCTCAAGGTATCTTTTTACTTCTTCCTTGATCTTACTGTTACCCCATTCATCGTTTAGTAACAGGTTATTTAGCCTCCATGTGTTTGTTTTTCAGGTTTTGTTTCCTGTAATTGATATTTAGTTGCATACTATTGTGGTCAGAGAAGATGCTTAATATGATGTCAGCCTTTTTTAATTTAAGACTTGTATTATGGCTTAACATGTGGTTTATCCTGGAAAATACTTCATGTGACTTGAAAAGAAGGGATATTCTTCTGCGTTTGGGTGAAAAATGCTAAAAAATACCAATTAACTTCATCTGGTTTAATGTGTCATTTAATGCCACTGTTTCCTTGTTGATTTTGTCTGGAATATCCATCCAGTGATACCAACAGAGTGTTCAAGACCCCTATTATAACTGTATTAAGTCAGTCTCACCCTTTATGTCCATCAATATTTGCTTTATATATTAATAGGTGCTCCTGTATTGGGAGTAGTATAAATGTGCACAAGAGCTATATTCACCTGTTGGATTGATCACTTTATTATTATGTAATGTCCTTCTTTGTCTCTTACTATGGCCTTTGTTTTAAAGTCTATTTTGTCTAATATGAGCATTTCTACCCCAGCTTTTTTTTTTTCATTTTCATTTCCACGAAATATATTTTTTCATCCTCTTATGTGTCTTTGATCTCCTTTATGTGTCTTTCATCTCAAGTAGGTATCTTCAAGTGACTATTAATAGGTGTATAGTTATTACCATTTTATTATTTATATTTATGTTTCATTTTTTCTTCTTAAAGAAGTTTAACATTTCTTGTTATACTGGTTGGCTGGTAATGAACTCCTTTAGCTTTTTCTTGTCTGGGAAGCTCTTTATTTCCTCGAATTTTAAATGATAGCCTTGCTTTAGGTCCATGCTATTCATTTTCATCATTTTGAATATTTCATGCCAGTTTCTTCTGACATGAAAAGTTTCTTTTGAGAAATCAGCTGACATTGTTATGGGAGCTCCCTTGCAGTTAACTAACTGCTTTTCTCTTGCTGCTTTTAAGATCCTCTCTTTGTCTTTAACCTGTTAGTATTTTAATTATGATGTGGTTTGGTGTGTGTGTCTTTGGGTCCATCTTGTTTGGTACTCTCTGCACTTCTTGGACTTTTATGTCTTTTTTCCTTTCCCAGGTTAGGGGAGTTTTCAGACATTTCCTTAAATAGGTTCTTAATTTCTTGCTGTCTCTCTTCTTCTGATACTTCTCTGGTATGAATGTTGTTATGCTTTGTATTACCCTTAAAGGGCCCTTAAGTTATCCTCATTTTTTTTTCTTTTTGCTATTCTGATTGGGTGTTTTCTACTACCTTGTCTACCAAATTGCTGATTTGGTCCTCTGGGTCATCTAATTTGTTGATTCCTTCTGTTGTATTCTTTATTTCTGACTGCTTCTTTTTTTTATAGTTTGCCCTTTCTTATGCTTACCATAACTCTGTCAAAGTTCCCACTGAATTTATTTGTTCTTCCCCTAAGTTTTCTTCAGCATTCTTATAACCAGTATTTTGAACTCTGTATCTAGTGGAATGCTTCTTTCCATTTCACTTAGTATTTTTTTTTCTGAATGTTTCTCCTGTTCTTTTATTTGTCAAACTTTTTTTGTCTCATTATTTTGGCTGCCTTTCTGTGTTTGTTTGGGTTTTTTTTTTTTATGTATTAGATGGATAAATTACATCTCCCAGTCTTGGCAGGGTGACTTTATGTAGTAGGTGTCCTGTGAGGCCCAGAAGCAGTCTCCCTCATCACCTGAGCCAGTGCTTAGGAGTGTCCCTTTTGTGGGTTATGAGTACCCTCCTATCGTAGTTGAGCCTTGATTGCTGTTGGTGTGTTAGTGGATAGAATTAAACCTTAGGCTAGCTGGCTGTGGGGATTGGCCATGACCATAGTGTATAAGCTGCTATGCAGAGGCTGTCCCCATGGGGCAGGATTTGCCCCAGCAGGTTCAAGTGCCTGGTGGGACCTCCTTCCCAGTGTGCCACTTGTGGAGCTAATCGCGTGGTGCTGTGTTGTGTCCTGACACTAGCCAATATGTGTGTTTTTTCTGAGGCCTCTTAGGAGGGATTCAGTTGCAGGTTAATGTCAAATACTGCCCATGATTGGCCCAGGAATACCTGTTAGGAGCTGCAAAGTGATCCACAACTGGTAGATGCCTGTGCTGGGCCTGGATGCTCATGGGCAAGTGGTATTCACCAGGTTAAAACATATTCAGATTTGGCACAAGGTCACTCAGCAAAAATCTAAGGGTACACCAAGGCAAGCTGCCACCCACCTTTGACCTGCAGATTTTTGTGGTAGGTTGGGATCTCAGGTCATCAGGGTGAAACTAATAGAATTCACCAGGCTAATGAAGATTCAGATTTGGCTATGTGGTGAGAAAGCCAAACACAGGTACAATGGCAGGAGTCCCTTCAGCTCTCACCCAGAAGTCATACAACTCAATTTCTCCCTCTTTGTCTGTGGTACACTCCCCCTTCCCCCAAGCTACAATTCTTTCACCAGAGCCCAAGGCGAGTGGGTACAAGCAAATTTCTGTGCACTGGCCCTTTAAGAGGATGCCAGGATTCCCAGCACCTTTCCCTCTCATCTGGATAGATGGAATCTCCACCTGATTTTCATAGATAGGTATTATGTGGACTCCTCTTACTGGCACTGGTGTTCTGGGCTGGGGGACCCAGCATGGGGCTGAGACCCCTCACTCCTCAGGTGGAACCTGTGCAGCTAAGATATCCCTCCAGGTTCTCAACCACTCATGGGTGGTAGGTACCAGCCTGTTTTGTTTCTCTACCCCTCCTACCAGTCTCAACTGGTTTCTTTATATTCTTAGTTGTAGGACTTCTGTTTAGCTAGTCTTCAAATAGTTATCCAGGTTAATTGTTTTATGACTTAGTTGTAATTTTGATGTGGTCATATGAGACGGTGAGTTCAGTGTCCATCTGCTCTACCATCTTGACCAGAACCTCCACAAAAATGGCTTTTTCCTATCTTGATTTTATGTCCTCTGAGAAAACCAAGCAGTGATATGAAACAGCTACATGGAGGTGTTCCATCCAATAGCAATAGATGAGGTTCCAAATGACAACCAACATCCATCATATACACTTCCCAACCCACTATACTAGTATGTGAGAAGAGAGAGGAGGGGAAAAAACCTACAGTAAAATTAAAAGAAATTTATAAAAGAGCTAGTGATGGGGGAACTCCCTCTTCAGAACTCTCCCAAACGTCACAGATGAGAAATAAAAATGCCCAATGCGTGATTTGCTTGGGGATGAAAGATGACTGGTCCGTCAAAGGAGAAAGGTCCTGAATACTTTTTTCCTTGCATTTTTATTGAATTCAGCTCACACAGAGATACGTAGTATGCATGAAAAGCCCATCCACCAGTGCTCAAAATGCTACTGACATCATTTACAGATAATAGTTGAAGAAACACAGGGATTGTCTCTGGTCAGGGATGGCTTTTGCTTAAGTGTCTGTTTCATAGCAACAGGGCAGAGCAGGTCTCAAAAGAAATAATGTACATTCTTTCTCTGGCCTTACTGGCCCCCTGGAAGCCATCTGATCCAGTATAAGGTCTTTGGCATAGTTCCAGGCTGAGTCAGGCAAGGAGAGCAAAGCAGCCAAGAGACTAGGAGACTTTCACAGAAAGACTGAGGACTCAGGCTATGACAAGGCCAAGAAGTGAGGGTCTTTCTGCCCCTTCTTTGAAGACCCCTAAGTTTTTCCCTGATGGCCCATCACACCAGTGCCTGTCTTAGGTTGTTCCTCCTCCTATGAGGGATCTTACCAATCATTGGCCAGTCTGTCATCTGCCTGGGCCAAGCAATGGGTAGTGGGGGAGGCAGGAGCTGCACTCCTGCCAGGAGGAAATGTTCTGTCTTCTTAATGGCTCATGGGACAAAAGGCTATACAGTCCCTGAAACCAGGTGGGACAGCTCCCAACAAGATAGGAACCTTTAAGTTAAAAATAAACTTTCTCATTTATTGCCAGATGGTAAAAATTATCCAAGGAAAACTATTAAAAGGCTTCTGTCATATTAAAAATTTTTTTTTCCATTTCAGATTGCTTTTATATCTTATTTTGGCATTTTGAAAACTTATAAGACAAGTTGAAGTAAATTTGATTGCATTTATCAGTGTTTAAGGCACATTTTTCCTATATTATTGACCCAGCACAAGTATTACACAGTTATGTAAGGTTCATATTGGTATATGATGCATGGAAATTGTCTTTTAATTGATTAAATGAGGCATGAATTTTAAAGTAGCAATTGAGAAAATACTAATTCAGCCAATATTTCTTTATGGTACCTTTAGAAAATTATTAATTATATGCATATTGGGCAGATTGTATTTATATATGTATATTGAGCAAATTCTGTACAGATTACTCTCTTAGGGTTCTAACCACTTTTAATCAATTATAGGATAGGTTACATATTTAATATTTTTATGGTCAAGTAAATTTCTTATAATACAAAATTTTAATTTATTTCTCTTTTTCTTTTATCAGAATACAGTCGTTTTGAAGCAAAAATACATGATTTACGGGAGCAGA